TCTATTAAAATACTGATATTCTGGTCTATAACTCCTCCCCGAACTTCCCTCTGCCCTGTATCTTGGTTTCTCATTGGCTGTAGGTCATCGCCAATGTAGTTTTCAGTCAGAACTCATTTCTCACAGCGTGATTGTGAATCGCTGACAGCTCCAGATATTTAGCACCAAATATTTTGCGGGCGTCGGCGACGTGTCTGCGATTCCCTCAGATCGCGTCTTTGATAATTCACTCTGCGTGATTGTCACTCGCGTGAACGAGCACCGATTTGCCTCCGATTGCGGGCATTTGTCGGCGATTTCACAAAGCCTGACGGCGAGTGAAAAATCGGGCCAAAATCATGCAGTGTGAACTTGGCATTACTAGTAACAATTAATTAGAGAGCTCTATAATTCAATTCTAGCTCTCTAACTGAATTTTTACTAGTAAAAATGCAATTACGACGAGTAACACTGGGATTATTTTAAGATAAATGGCTTGCCATATTTTCCTATAGTTGATGTTATCTAGAATTTTTTAATTGTTGTGGGTTCCATATCAATTATATTAAGTAAACAATTAAATAATTATAGTTTTATGTAGACTAATTACAACTTTTTAAACTTATTTAAAGCTGCATTAAATAAAGATTACAATTAGAGAGCTCTCTAATTCAGTTCTTACTAGTAACAATTGAATTATAGAGCTCTCTAACTGAATTAGAGAGCTCTGCAATTACATTCTTACAAGTAAGAATTCAATTAGAGAGCTCTACAGTTCAATCCTTACTAGTAAGAATTACAATTCGAGAGCTCTCTAATTCAATTGTTACTAGTAAGAATTCCAATTACAAAGCTCTCTAATTCAATTGTTACTAGTAAGAATTCCAATTACAGAGCTGTATAATTCAATTTTTACTAGTAAGAATTCCAATTAGAGAGCTCTCTAATTCAGCTGTTACTAGTAAGAACTAAATTAGAGAGCTCTCTAATTCAATTACAGAGCTCTGCAATTAAGCATATCTTTAATTTGTTTTTTACTAGTAAAAATTAAATTATAGAGCTCTCTAATAGTAATACTTACTAGTAAAATTTCAATTGTAGAGCCCTGTAATTAAAAATGAATGGAAGTCAATGGAAACATATGACTAGTAAAAATTCATTTGTAGAGCTCTCTAATTGAAATGATTACTAGTAAGAATTGAATTAGAGAGCTCTGTAATTGGAATTCTTACTAGTAAGAATTGAATCAGAGAGCTCTCTAATCATAATTGTTACTAGTAAGAACTGAATTAGAGAGCTCTCTAACTGGCATTGTTACTAGTAC